TGTTCAGGAAATTCAGCAAGGAACTGTTGGTAGAATGGGTGGATGGATGTTTTCTTCTGTACAACAAACAAAAGTAAATACCTTGCCATGAATACCACAAAAATAATATAGAAAGGGTAACTAAAACATCTTACATTCTTAATACATCCTAAGAAACAAAGGAATCTCTCTCAAACATTCACCAGGGTTCTGCTTATCCTGTTAAGAACATAATTAAATACAGGATACAACTTAACTACTTCTGGTTCTAAATTAAAACAATTTGCTTTAGTAACAAGTTTTAGGTCAAATAAACCAACAAGTGAAGATTAATTTAAGGTAGACATAATTTCAAAGAAATAAACCATAAATAGGCCAAAAGAGAGGGAAAACTGGACTGACATCATCATAAGACATCAGCTGACACAAACACCAGTCCAAATGCATTAAATAAAATAAAATAATAATAATTATAATAATAATAATGTAAATTAATGTAAATAAAAGTTGTCCTTCATCTCTTCCCTCCACTCCTCCGCAGTCTTTCCACTAACAGTCTCACAGTGTTACACCACTGCAATATGAGTGTGGTCAGTGTCAATCCTTTTGGGTTGACCACACATGCTGCAGGTGTGTGATGTTGGCTGCCAGCAGGTTTTCCTCCTGGCAGTGGACCACGCCCTGCCGCAGCAGCTTCAGCCGCCTTCCTCTTCCTGTAGGCTCTGGTCTTGAGTACATGTAGTCCAGGCAGAGGAGGTGGCTGGACAGAAGAGGGGAGGAGTGGCTAGTTGAGCGCTAGCGCTAGATGAGGGGCCAGGCTTTTCATTGTTTGGAGGAGGCAGACCCCTGCTGAAGGGCCCAGGCTGCTCCTCTGGGACATTTAAGTTAAAGGGCTGCCCTTGTCCCACCTGTACCAAGGACAGCCCCTTTGCTGAAGGCAGAGTCTGGCCAGCACCTGAAACACATAGACAAACACAGACTGTTTTAGGATTTTCAGCTTTCATTAAAAGATAAATCAAAGTACAGATTATAACACAGCTTTATGACAAACTCTTACCACTGAGTCCTTAATTTGATTTGATTCAAAGAGCTGGAAGTTGGTCTGAGCCTTCAACCTCAGGCTGGCCAGCACTTGGCTTTCTAATGACCACCCAGTCCTTAAGGATGAGGGACCATCAAGTCCTCATGATCCACGTGGCCACATGGAAAAAGATGGAAGAGCTCGCTGCAAACGGCCTCCACCAGGCAGCTATCACTGGGCCAGGTTGCCGGGCCCAAGTTCAATCCAAGAAGACAGCTGAAAGATAATCATAGAGAGCAGTGTGTGTTGATATAGATCTGATATTCATTAGAGGAAACCGAGATATTTGAAGTGAATCTTACCTCTAGAGACTGTCCTTCCCAGGACAGGAGGTGTTCTTCCCCGTCGCTGCCTTGAACTGTCACCTGGGCTGCCTCTCTGGGAGGGTAGACAACTCACCGTTTGTCCTGCTCTGGCAGGTGTTGCCAGGAGCTTGGAAGTACTTGGCACTGGCTTGATGAAAAAGGTTTTGGATCAAAAATGTATTTTATGTTTGGATGAAATGATAATAAACAATACACTTAATCACAAGCTATGAGACATACGCATATACCTGGGATGAACTGGTTAAGGTGGAAACCAACCATGGTCAGTCTTCCATTCTCTATGTACAGCTGCACACCTGGTGGGTCCTGAATGCAGCTGAGGTTGCACCTCTGTGTACTCCATATGTCCTGGATGTATAGAGAATCCAGCAACTGGACATCCAGGGTGACGTGGAGATTCTGGATGAGGAGGGCCAACTCCTCTGCGCCCTTACAGCAGCTGTAAGAACATAATAAACACTGATAAACTTAACTTGTCTTCTTCAGGCAACTAAAATTTGCCTGAATTACACCTCATCGTAGAGAAACTCCCTGGTGGGAAGCACCTGTTAAGAAAGAATACTAAGAGATGTCTGTTTGACAGATCAATCAATTAGACATACAATGCATTTAGAAAGTATTCTTTCCCTTTATTATTTAACATTTTATTATTTTGCAGTCTTATAATGAAATCATTTAATGCATTCATCAATGTACAATGCGAGCAAGCTAGCGGATAATGCTAATGCTAGCTGCTAGGGGAGGCGGCTTGCTTTTCCCCAAGCTAGCAGTTTGTACTTTGTGTAATTGCCTTTCCACAAAGATCCATGGTTAAATGATTAAGATGAGTTAAAATTAATCAGTTTATTACACTTATTTTTTTAAGTTGTCATCACTAATGCATCAAAAAATAAGGTGGATGTGAGACTGAGACACACACACACACACACACACACACACACACACACACACACACACACACACACACACACACACACAGTGTGTGTTTGGCTTGAACATTATAATTAAAATACTTGTTTGGAAAGTTGCTGTCTCTGATTTGTTGTGAAGTAACTCATTGTGACATAATGATGAAGTAATGAGGAATAATTCAGTGACAACTCTGATGTATCACTTTACGGACCAAAGCTATACAGCTTTTAAAACAACCACAATATGCTGATGGATTTCACTCTAGTTTACAATACAATTCTGTTGGAATGTGTAGCAAATTACCCTTAAAGACAATAAAATACTGTGAAGAGTTTTGCATTTGTAAAAAGAAAAACAAGACTTTGTGAATAAAACTGAACAAATGACCAGTGGTGAGGTAACACACAGACGCTGTGAAAGACAAAGTGCTTTGTGTAAAACTTGGTGCCTAAAGTTCCCACACAGTGTGTGACACTCAAGTTACAAGTAGAATTTTGACTATTTTTTCACCTGAATCTAACTGGACAAGGACAATCCAATCACAAAGCAGAATCCAATCAGATTTCTGCACTTTATCTGTACACAGACATTGACAAAAGCACTTCTTTCAGTGTCGTTGTGTTACCTCACCACTAATGTCATTTCTTCAAAAATTTGAATCACATTGTCTTTTAACAAATACAAGTCTCTTCTACACGTCTTCACACGTACAAACATGAGATTTATTTTACAGGTTTACAAAGGTTGATTTACAACTGCAATTGGAATTATTTGTGAACATCACTTTACAAGTTCAAAATCCTTTTGACTCTTAATTTGATTCATACAGGTGTGGGGTGTGGTAATGCCCATGACTTACCAATTATTTCTGGTTGTAGGGGACCGTAAGGTGCTACTGGCCTGAAGTGGGCTCTGGAGTCCCTATGAAAACAAATAATTATACTTTATAAAATAAACTTCCCATTGCAGTGAAATCCAGATCATTTTAGGCTTAAGCTTTTCACAAAACTGTACTGAGTAAGTTTTTTAAAACTTGAAATTCACTTCACTTACCATGATTAACTCAGTCAGTTGCAAGTTAAGCACGAATCTCCCATCAGTTTCAGAGGAGGTGGCCTCACACAGCTCCAACTGCAGGTTCAGGAATCCTGGAAAGGATTTTAAAAAAAGTTTCCCTTTAAATGAAAGAAGGACTTTAAATCAAACTACTCTCTGTCTGCTGTCTATGAAAAGAACAAAAGATCAATTCATCATTCATTTAAAACCTATTTAATACTCAGTACAAAAGGATGAAAATTGACTAATACATTTACTAGTTTGAGAAAGAGTGGCATTTAACAGTAGCTACAGCTAACAACAACTTCTGCTGCTTACAACGTTGAAGTTAGCTTCTGATTCGGCAAATGCAGAAAAAAAACAGTGAAACGTTATAGCATAAAGGCTTCACAAATCAGAAACTGTATTTCAAAGAGTCTTTAGCCTCTCGGGGTTTAATCTACACCACATTTGACAAGTCCGGGTCCAGTGGTTTCAGATCTAGACCTGGTCTCATGTGGTCTAGATGCAGTAAGAGGTCCAATAAACGGAGGATTGGGTTTAGTTAAATTCTCTTAACTTTCCCCTTCACTGCCGAATCAGAAGCTAACTTCAGCGTCGTCTGCTGCTTACCTAACGTACATATATTCACAAAAGGATGGGCGATCTAACTCTTACATTATGAATGATCTTACTTTGGCACATGGTCTACTTTTCAGTTGAATCGTAAAGATTAAAAGCTGCTATATTTTTAAATTTAAAAGTTCAGTCGCTGTTAACCCGAGACCTGCTGCAGGCAGGACAGCCGAGGTGGAGCGAGCCAGAGCTAGCTGGTTAGCAGCGACTGAACTTTCTAATTAAACGACTTATATATAGCCTCTGAGGAATAAATAACAGCGCTGTCCAAATGCATGCTCCATATGAACTAAGCAACAAGTCAGATTAGTTGCGACACAATTCGTAAACAGCATTGTAGATCTACAATGGCGGCGGGCAAACATCCGGAGAAGGAGTCACAGCAGCGGAAGACACAAATTACAACTTCCGGTCGGGACCTTCACAATAAAATCTGAGTGAAATCAATGCAGATGGAGATTAAGATCGTTGATTCCGATTACAGCGGCTCCATCCTCAATTACTTTATTTTGGTTTATTTCATCAAACAAACAGTGCTTGTACGTAACTAAACTCTATCCCATCATCTCTGACACTAATAAAAACACCCATTACAGGTGGACTATAAAGCCACCAGATGGTACTGTGGCACAGAGGAAATTACAGTTTCACAGTCTGTGGTTACACGTGATGTAGGCACATTTATTTATCAGCAAATTATAAGCAATAATGGTACTATAAAATTCATAAAAACATGCATTACTGTGTCGCTTGTATGTCCGTGGGGAATACTGAACCTGCTATGCTTCATGTTATTAACAGCAAAGGTTAAAAGCCTGGACTAAATACAACTTGTGTAATACAAAAAGCTGAATTATAATGGTATAGTTTTAGCTACTTGTTGTAAACTATTACAAACGTATCTAGTGATGGACTGAGTATGTATGACTTAAAAGAGCTGTGAATCAAACAATGCAATTTTACTGAATCATATCAAAACTGTTTCATTGTCTTAAATAATCCCAAGAGACATAGAAAGAGTAAAATGACAACTTTATTTCCAGCATTTAAATGTCTACTGCATGTGCAATTTCATATTTTCCACATTAAACAAACACTTATGTCTACACTGCAAGTTACTTCAGAAAACTACAACAAACTACAGCGTTCGTTTTGTTTTTTATTATTTTTTAGTTACAATCACTTTTTTTGTTGTCAGGTATCTGCTCTGTGAAGTCAATGAAAAATAGTGTAAAAACAGTCTGCAGTGTATGTCAGTAGGCACTGAACAGTTTGATAATTTCTTCAATTCACACAAAGATTGTCATTCCTGTCCATTGAAAAGTGAATAAAAAAGGATTATAATGTCTGTGTTACTACCACTGAATGCCGACCTGTGCGCAGTGGCTCCCCAGCAGCTGCAAGAGCCCCAGTGGCCTAATGGATCAGGCTTTGGCCTCCTAAGCCAGGGAGTGGTGCATCAGAAGTGTGTTGGAAACCATCCTCTTCTATGTCAGCACTTTTACAATGATTAACAATTAAACTCTCACCCTTTTACTTGTCTAATGAGTCCCATCAGCATGAAATACTTGTAGTGTAGAGGGTGATCTTATATCATTTGATATATAAACCATAGCACTGTTGTATATGACTGAGATAGCAAAACCGGGGCGAAATGTAAAAACATCAAGTCTCTACTGAGCTTTACGCATTCTGTCAGCTACAGATGCCCTGTGGTTCGTCAAGTTATTTAGGACACAGCTGTTGGTCAGCATAGACAGTTTAGAGTTCAGGGTGTCTTTGCTTCTCTCCCAACAATAATCTCCATCTCGATCCACATTTTCCTCTCCTCCCTTATCCTCCTCTTCTTCTTCTACCTCACTCTCTTCATCACTACGTTCGTCTTTTTCCAGCTGCGGGCAGAAGCAGATACAAGGTTTAAACATGTGTGACAAAGCTGAAAACTTAGCGTCAACTGACTTCCTGATTCTCACCTTGCCTTTCAGGAACTTATAGACCATGCGCAAGATTAAGCCAGCCCAGAAGATGTGAAGAGCCTGCAGCACCATCAGCAGGGTGTTGAATAAGTAGTAGCCGACAAAGGGTTCAAAGACCTCCATGGACAGAACCAGGGTGGTATGGATGATTCTGCAAGCAATCACATAATCAGAGTCAAATGGAAAAAAGTGTTTCTGACTATAGACTTACAAGTCACCCATGCTGCATTAAGTAGTTAAGCATCTAATTCACAAAACTGGAGAAACTCTCAGGAGAAAAACGTACTTGCTGGGGAAAATCACCAGTCGAGTCACAAGGAAGACCCCAGCAAAGACGACGAACAGTGTGTCACACGTTTTCCTCCAGCCAGTGCCGTAGTTGAACATCTTGGCGGACTGGAAAAATATGATTATGATTGAATATGATATGACTGATTAAATCGAGCAAACAATACAAACCACGTGAAGTGGCCTCACCACACTGAGAAAAACCTTAGTTGAAGAATTATGCAAAAAGAGTTACTGAGCCCACACAGGACTCAGGATAACAGAGAAACAGGAAACATGTCGTCAACAAGTTAACATCAGCTCAATTATGATGACAACGAGTCTGTGTCATAAGCAGAGCTCCACATAATACAGAACAAGGCTGTGTATAGTTACTGTGTCTTTGTGTTTAACCCATCTCTCATGTAGCGTCATTTGTTTTGCACAGGTAAACAAAGGTCACCTCAGGCTTCTAAAGTGCTTTTAGCTATCAGGACTCAGTCATAGGATCTGCCTGACGAAATAAGTTCAGCGTCCTGCAGGACACTACATAGATAGATTTTATAAGAACAGCCTCAAGCACAGCGTGAACCTCTGAGTGCAGTTTACAACATTCAGACAGCCAGCTCCTCTCACTTTGTTGCGTCTGCGCAGAGCCAGAAAAATGGCCAATGGGGAGATGAAGCCATGGTCCCATGCTCTGGAGAGACTAATTATATTTGTAAGGTCCCGTGTGTCTGTTAAGCTATGGCTCTAGAGCGTGAATAGATGACACAGGACTCTGAAGGTACAAGTTGTTCTTTTGAGTCCAACCACAGTTACATCGCGTTACCTCAAGCAGGATGTCAGAGGAGTCGTGAAGCAGCATGACCAAAGTGCCGATGCGAATGTAGTTGGCACAGTAGGAGAAACTAAGCAAGAAGATGGTGGCCAAATGGTGGATCACCTGTTCTTTAAAATCCTGGCAAAGCAAACATATACGTAGTATCTACTCAGTAAAACATAATGCCCTTCATATGTCAACAGAATAATTTAACATTCTCCTCCTTATAGTCACTTATTAACCTCTTGTTAATAAGTGACACATAGAGAAGTTTCTCATTGAAGCACAAGTGATGTATAAAATCGGTTCTCTTTAACATCTTTATTTGTGCACTTCTCTAAAGGACAAATGTGTTGTGTTGTTAACCGGGAGGGAGACAGTTGTGTTAGATTAATGACTGAATGAATGAATGTTGAGGCCCTCACCTTCCTCTTGATGTCAACAGAGATCCGCAGCAGCAGAGAGCCATAAAAACCCAGCTCCAACATGTAGTACCAGTAATGAGCTCTCTCCATGGGCTGTGGAGGAAACATTGTTATTATTATTATCAAAAGTCAATGAAAAGTGATTCAAAAACACCTGAACGTTTACTTGGGGCCCACAAATAGAGCCATATCAGCCAACATTGATTAACAGCTGGAGAGTTTGGAGCATTTTTACTAAATAAAACTCAAAGTATTGATTAGAAAGATCAGTTGGGAGCTGTAGTTCATCTTTTCAGTAACAATTTGTATCATCAAATGTTGTTTATAAAGCACATTGTTTTTAAGAAAGGGCAAGTACAGCTGAAAATGATTAGTTGAATAATTCATTAGTCAACAGACAGAATATAAATCTGTGAATATTTTGATAATCGTTATTCAATCAATAACCTATACATTTACTGGTTCTAGTGACCTAATGGATAAGGCACTTGCCTCAAGACAGGTATTATGGCTTTGAGTCATGTGCGTAATGTGTAGCAGAGTGGCGCAGCGGAAGCGTGCTGGGCCCATAACCCAGAGGTCGATGGATCGAAACCATCCTCTGCTATAACAATAGTTTCACAATGAGACTGCATTTTATCATTACGACTGTTCGTCAGGCAAAGGAAGAGGCCTGAAGATGTCACTTTTGGGAATGTGTAGTTTTCAAATTGTGACTTTTTATTGACCAAACAGTTAACTGCTTAATCAAGACAATACTTGGCAGATGAATTAATAATAATAATAATAATAATAATAATCATCATTAGCTTTAAAGTTTTAGTTATGCAAATACACTTCAACTACTACAGCTACAGCTCATTTAGATTTATTTACCTAGAAGATGAGTAAATGAATTTAAATCAAAATTTAACAGGGTGTTCATTGCTCTCTGACATATGAATGAGGAAACAGATTTCACTACATTGTGCTTGTTTACATTTCCTTTTTTAAAGCAGATTTGATCTCTTTCCTTCAAACTCAGATGCCAGTCAGAGTACACATACAAAGATTATCAATACATAGGATGCAACAACTTCCACATACTACATGTGGCTTTTTCCTTACGTGTAGGAATGTAATCTTATTTTGCCTCACTTCACTTTCCTGACCAGAAAGAAAGACATTACTAAAAACTATTTTAACAGGGTAAACTCAGTGAGGTGGTGTAAGTATTGTTCTCACCTGTACTGGATACTTCCTCCAACATTCGCTGCGGTCCCAGAACCAGGGTCTCTGTAGACAAGTTACAAGTGATGTTTTTTTTTTTTTCAGCAGGAACAGTAGTAATTTATTTCTACATTATTGTTGTAAAGCTTTTTCAAAACTCATACTCACATCAACCAAGCAGGCTAGTCCGGCCACAAAGGCTGTGATGTAGAAAAAGAACCTCCAACTGCAAAATAACACAACGCATAAGATCAGACACTCTGAACCCTGAAGGAGAAGGACAGACACTATAAAAATATAAATCAGTTAGTTTGAAAGGGCGTCTCATTCTCCAGTTGTCATTCTCGTATACTTAGTCAGGTTCTCGTGTTTTTTTTTTTCCACAGCCTGCTTTGGATTTTTGCATTGGGTGGTGAAGGAAGTGTTCTTGAGGGAAGTCATCTGTGAACTGAGCAATGAAAGGGTTGTGGAGAGAAAGCACTTACGCAGCTTCACCAAACTTCTTGGTTTGACAGGGCCTGTCTTGGTTCCTGCGACGACGGAACCAGGTTTCAATCTGCCTCTGGGTTTTACCGCACAGCGACATCAAACTAACAATTTCACTCTGAAACAAGAGAACGCAAGAGAAATATTTTCTCTTCCATCAGATTTTCTCAACTTCACCAAATCAGTGTGGAACTGGTGTTAAGTTACGCTGGTGTTAAGTACTATCCTGTGTCTGATACATTATTAGATGTTACATAATTACATTTTTAATACTGATGCATGAGTGTGTGTGTGTGTGTGTAGCATTTTACATTTGTAGTTGGTCAGGGTGGAGCTAGTTTTAACTACTTTATATACAGAGAAGTAGTTTAGTCTACTGGTTCCCAGCCTAGGGGTAACAAGATAATTCTGGGGGCTGGTGAGGTAATTAACAGGTAAGAAAGCATGTTTGATTACCTGTTGAAACCTTGTCAGACTAACCTGTGTCGGCTGTCTGCTCCTCTTGGTGTAAAAAGACTCCAGCTTTGGGGAGGGGGCAGCGGTCACTTGCAATCTATTCCTTACACCCAAACATCTGCCCATGGATGGGGCAAAAAACCTAGGGGCAGGGAGAACAAAGGACAGCTAACACAAATGATGATATAACACCCGCTGTGGGGTAGTCAGAGAACCAGCCCCTAGTTATACTGTACATAATAAGCCATTTAAGAGTCAGTCAAAAGCAACTCTAAACCAGCGTGCATTCATGTAATGTATTTGAATATGCATGAATATATAACCAAGCATGATGTGAAATTAATTTAGATATAAACAGTATGTTCCAATCTAATAATATGTGATATTTTGTGAAATGTGTAAGAATGATATAAATGTGTGTCTATTTCTGTTCAAAGTGAAACTAAATAGAATCAGATGAGGACATGCAAACGGAATTTGGTCTATAGCTATAATGTAAAATAACTTATAATAATATAAAAATTATTTAAAATAACCGTTGAAAATCTTCAGTTTAGACATCACCACTCCTAATTCTGTCCCTTCGCTCTCTTTCTCTCTGTCAGTCTCTCTCCTTCTAGTCCCCAAAGGCTTTTTTCCTGATGATAACAATGCCTGCTCTGCCGAAACACCTGCTCACTGCCCCACAGTTGATATCCTCTTACAAATACAATGTCCTCCGTAGATACTTGATGCTTGAGGAAATGCTGCATGACATTTTGGAGCCAATTCAAATAATACCGGCTTTTGCAATTGTAAAAAAAAAAAAACATCAGTTGATTGTGTTTCTTAAGAGGGATGTGAGTATCATTTCAGGTTAGGCAGGACAAAGTGTTTAATTGTCAAAGCCACACACGCCACTGCAGAGGACAATGGCCCTTCCTGTATAAACATCTTCACAGGACAAAGAGATCAGGTGTGTTGTACCTCTCAAACACATAGCGTAGGGCAACAAAGCCCAGTGCTAGGGGCAGAGCTATGAGGAGGTCCAGGGGTTGCGGTCGGTCAGAGTCCGCCAGGTGATCCATGTCTTTCCAGGTCACACCTGGAGGAAGCCAGTAGTCCTGCCTCCACACGTCAGGCAGCAGGTGCATTCTGCTGTGGCTGGGTAGGAAGGAATGAAGAAGTAAAAGTAAACATGTTGAAGATGATGAGGTTTCTGCATGTCTAAGCCTCAGCCAGGTAAACCCAGTCTTGGAAGTGTGGGACTTGGATTTGATTTGGTAAACATGAGAGAGATAAAAAAAAAAAAGGGGGGGAATACTATTGACATGTAAACATCTTGAGAGCTTATGGGTCGCATAGTGTCATATTAGCTGCATCATATAATATAAAATGCCATAAAAATGCTAGTATTATCATTTATAGGTTACAGCAGAGCCATAAACAATGCATTTGAACATCCTTTACTAATATTACTATGTAAATAATGCCATAAAACAACCACACACTTAGTTCACAATGCTCTGAGACAAAGTGCTTCAAATACCACTAAACCTTATTATAACACCAGAATAAAAAGCATAAACTCAACTAAAAGTACCACAAACATATTGTACACCTGTACCCAGGATATCACGTCTTATTTCTGTGAAGCAGACAGAAAACAAATAGTGCAGTGCGTCTAGGAGAACAGTATATTCACGTTCACAGTGAAACCACCAACTTAAACAGTTGAAAGAAATGTTCTACAGAGTAGAAACTCACCTGTCAGCAGCTCTATGGAAATAAAGAACTAATCAGACAGAAAGATAAAAATCCACCTTCAACTGTGAATTTCTTCCAGCTTTGTTTTGGACAGGGATGTACCTCGGTCCCCACTGTATCGTAACGACGCCACCAGAGAAGAGGACCGTTCAGTCGTCACGGTTCAGGCGTCAAGTTAGGCACCATAACCAGAAGTTGTAGTTACAAATGTCAAAATAATAGCCATATGTAAAGGGCGTTGGGGTGTTCAATTTGAGGCACCGAAATGAAAACGACTTTGCAAAGAAACCTGTGCAAGTACATGTAATGTTTCTGAGCACGAGACACGATCATAAAACATTTAGCGACTATATATATATATATACGTGGAATATTTACAACTGTGTCAAAAAAAATCACTTCAATCAATTTTAATCAATATTTCTCCGTAGTTGTGCACAGCCAATCCCCAGCAGTGGTTTCCACAGGTAACTTATCTGTACCTTTATTCTGAAGACTTCCGGTATTCTCAGTCTTTCTCCAACAGGAAGGTGCAGCTTGATGGTTGAGCGGATAATGAAAAACCAGGGGCGTCTCCTGCTCAAAGCCACTGTTTCATGACCCATTAACTAAGCATGGGCAGGAAAGGACTGAGCATCAGTATTTTATTCCGTGTTGTAACAAAAAAAACACCTAATGGTTTAGACTAAAATTAGCGTTATATTAGCCCTGAAACTTACTCAAATCATGAATATATTGAGTTAGGCTTTAAATGCTATAAGTTAAGCAGTCACAACAGCCTTTGTAATATTTGGTCACACAGGTCCATAATCTGGTGTTATCAGTTAACTATGTAACTTTTTATTTCCATTACATTTTACATATTATCTGGTTTTCTATTCAGTTCACTGATGTAAAACTAAAACACTTTGTTCTCATGTTCTGTCTCTGCTGATATTAAACTTTTGAAGGAAGAAATTACATATTCGTCCCTTGAATACAAATGATACAATACAAAATGAATACAAATGAAAAAGTTGAATTCATAAGGATTCAAACCCACTCAGGGATTGTGATGTTACAGCCTTACCTCATCAGTGGTACCTGGTTTATTGTTAGCTAAGGTTAGCAAACTTTAGATATTCCTGTTTAACTAACACTGAGTTTATGAACCTAAATTCTCTGCTTTTTCTACTGTTATGCTACATTTAAACATTTAGCATTAACAGCTTGACTGCCACTTGAGGCTTCTTTGGCAGCTTTTCAGAAAAAATTTACATAGTCTTGCACTTAAGTTACATTTCCTTATATTCTGCCGGAAGTTGTACTCCATAATAAATATTAAATGCTTGACTCATCTTTAACAGGAACAACCTCATATCTCATTACGTTTCCTTATACTCCACGGTAGGTTATGAAAGCCCTCTCCCAGGTTACCACTCTCTAAGAAATTATCCTACACCCACAGCAACAATTCAGGACGCTTCCAGGACTTAGTAGTTTCAAGGTAAACACACCTCTGTGAGTGTGTGCATAATAATGTCACACACCTCCTTAAAACACATACAGAGGTACACACTTCTCCTGAATCCATGCCAATACAGCCACAGATACACACGCCAATCCTCCTCCCACCACCCTCCTCTTCTGTCAACACGCTCAGCTGATAGTATTGTGGCAAGAGACAAGCAGGCTGTCTGCTGATAACATCACTACTGTTATGCAGATGAGCACTTCAGTCAGGATCACAGCTGTGTTATGTCTAAGTCACTGGTGCATTATTTAGTCATATATATGCAAAGTGTGTGATGAATGTGTGTAAAGGACTGCCTGTGTATTAGGACCCAGCAAAGTGAGAGAGAGTTTGTGTATGTTAAACAATGTGCAAACATGATTTGCATATGTTGTGGTGTTGGCTGTGTATAACCTTTGTTTTTGTGTGCATGTGTTGTTGGGGGTTGTTCTGTGTATGTGCAAATGTGTGTTTACATGCATTTCTGAATGACTACCGCAAAATAATTCAAAATATTCAGGAAGGTATTTGCATGCTGTATGCACTTGTCTAGTCTACGTGTCTATGAATTGAGACGGCAACACGGACACCTTGTTTCTGTAAGATCAGACATGAAATACAAGAAAATGAGAATTATTGTTCTCAGCTGAGCCTGCAACACCACCTTTTACAGTAACAGACTTTTTACTCAAAAAGTCTAAATATCTGGCAAAAGTAAAATATGTCAATTTCCGTGTTTGATCAATGCTGTACAAATAAATAATAATAATGATAATTGTAGTAGAATGTGTAGCAAAAGTAATATTTACCTGAAGTATCACATATGGTAACACAGAACATTTTCTGCCATGCATGTTGGGCCTGAGTTCATTTTTTCTTTTTGATTCAGCCTTATTTGCATAGCTGTGTTTGTGTGTGTGTGTGTGTGTGTGTGGTGTGTGTGTGTGTGTGTGTGTGTGTGTGTGTGTGTGTGTGTGTGTGTGTGTGTGTGTATACAGTATGTGAGGGGGCGATGGGAAATGAGTGCCTTTGTTAGTTTATCAAGGAAGTAAATTGTTGGAACCCAGTGAAGCACAAATCTGTGGTGTTAATTGCCGGACTAATGAGGTGGGGGTTTTACTCTGTGCTTCCAACCATCTGTTGGAGCCTGATAAACTTAAAACTGTAGAGGCCTGTTTTAGTGCAGTTAGCATAGTGTGACTCTGTTAGCCAGCTTTGTGAGCACAGACATTTCTTACTAGCAACAGGCTGTCAGAACCACACTGTTAGCATGACTAAGAATGTGTGTTAATGTCTCTCTCACACCCCTATCACCATCCACACTTAACAGACAAAAATGAATGAAAGTGGATTGAATGAGTTTGACCAAAAACCTCTCTTCATGTGTTTCTGAGCAGTAATTAATCCCACAGCGACTTGTAGTTCTCTAAGTATCCAGGAGGAGTCGCAGCTCACCAGATGGTCAGGTTACGAAGAGAGGGTGATCACAAACTGACATTCGGGGAAATCTACCTGGAAGGAGAAAACTGAAAAACGTGGAACTTGGGAAAAGCTCACATTAAATACCATTTAGGAACTCCCTTTTAAAACTATACAACTACAACTGAAACTGTTTTTAAACAATTAGGAAGGAAAACCTCAGTCTTGGTTATGTGAGTCCATGTCCTTCTTACTCATTTCTAAATCACTTAAAATATCCCAAACTCTTGTTTAGTATTATTCTTATTGTGATGATTTATGCTTTATGACAAACCTGCCTCTCATAATGAAGTTTGTGCTTATGTACATTTGGTCGTCTGAGACCAATGTATCTATGTTTGCTTCCTCCAAACAGGTCTGTCTCCTGAGGGTCTATGTCACTCGGCGCAGGGATATATTTCATGTGGGAGGGGTGGGGGGTGGCTGATCTGACTCTGTGAGTGCCGATCCTCGTGAATCAACTGGCTGTGTTTCTTTACGAGCTTCCAATTGATTATTCGATTGATTTCATTTGCTCTAAATCTTCCTAATATTGATCTGAGGGGCAGTGGTGAGGACAGTCTGCGCTCAATTAAAAGTTTATGCGTCTTTATATTTGTATGTGCCATGTGCTATGCTTGTGTCTCCAGGTCTGTAAAGTAATTAGACTTTCTAAAAGCAGGACCAGACAAAAGCTTTTATTTCATTAAAAAAAAAAAAAACTATGCCACTTAAAGAAACATTAGGAAAATATCTAATTTAAGTCTACATCAAAGAACCATATACAACAGTTTGGTATTTCAACAACAGTCTTCTGGTCACCACTGAGGAATCAAACAACTTTTTAACAAATGAGTAAAATATCAATACTAAACCTTATTTGTAAAGAGCTTTTCAGAGCCACATTTCAAAAGGATTTTATAGTATTATAAGGGCAAAAATTATATTACAAAACAAGTGGCAAAAGGAGCAGAAACAACATTAGTACGAAATAGAAATAGCTTTTCCCATGTTCCTACAGGCACTGTTGTACAGTTTTGGCTGCTGCACTGGATGGGGCCTAAAGGGTAAAGGATTAGGGGGAGGAAGTTGGTGTACATGCATTTCATAATCATAATTTTACATGACACATTCAGCCAGGGCCCTGACCCTTCGCACTGAGCCTCATAAGCCTCTTAAAGGGATGGCGACATGAAACAGCAAAACCCGAAGAAAAATAAGCTGTATTAACTGTTATGTATTAGTGACTCTTAGATTTTCTAGTGAAATAAAGATTGACATTTAGGACAAAGCTGAATTTAAAATAAAATAGAGTGATACAAATAGCAGCTAGAGCTCAATTTCAGGAGGTAAATAAAGTGATTTCCTCAAATTATGGAGGCTTTGGTTAGTTAGAAATAATTTTACCTGAGGATCATCTTAAAGGTGATACAAATATCACAAAATATCCAGCATGGTTCACATTAAAAATGAACGAAAAGGTTTTCAGTTTCAGAGAAACTAATATGACATCTTCTAAATTTTTGGTTCAGCTGTACCTCCAAAAAAAAGAAAAAAAAAAAGGAAAAGTTAAAACAAATAAAAGCTTTTTAACAACAAATCAACATATAAAGTTTACAGTCTTGTCTCTAAACCTGCAGTAACAGTGCGCATTAGTTCTGTATAAATTACTTCCATGGCTTCCCTAAACTCATTTAGTTTCTCTTTTATTCAATCAGGACCTCTGCTGCAGCAGCTCTGCTCTCTATTTATAATTCAGCCCTCGGATTTGTAAAAACATTATACAATTACAAAATGACATGATAAACAGGAGTCATAACGTAATGCTGCGATACTGATCGTTATCTTCCTGTTGTGGTTGTCACTATAAAAGCTGCAGTGTAACATCATACACAGCATGAGTAGTGTTGGACACAAGGCTTCTGTTGTGTCTATTCCTTCTCTCTCTGGCGTGTTACATTCCCTAATTACACAGCTTGTGTTTTATGGTTTTGATACTCTCATCTTGCAGAAGACAACTGACAGTTTCCATTACCCAAACAAAACAACAGATATACTGTAAAGTGTCGTTTCTTTCATTTTCAGGAGATGACACTTTGGAAACAGAAGCTTTTAGTGGAGCATGGAACCGACATCATCAATCAAAAGTCCCTGAAAAGAACCTCCCCAGATTTTCAAATGCATCCCCCTCCTCATCTTTACACCAGTGCATAATCAAACTGTCCTCTGTCCAGCCCCTCCTTATGGTCCGTCCACGAGGAAGCTGGCATGCTGCTGTAGGGGTCTAACAAGATACGGACGCAGCGAACGAGGAGAAAAAGCAGCAGCAGCACGAGGAGGCCAACGAAACACAGGGCTGTTCCCTGCTCTGGGTGCCCTGCCATGGGCTGCAGCACTGTCGGGCCCCTGGGGAACCCAGGTGGAGCCGGAGAGGAGAGCTCATAGTCCACAACCCAGTAGTTTGCGTCACTCATTTTGGGAATGAGGGAATGTTTTGAAGGGTGAAACTTTTTACTGTGTACGTTTTATTTTGTAGTCAGAAGATATCAGGCATGGCATGGCACCGCAGGGTCATCTTTGTCACGGAGTGTGATTTCTAAACCCAAGACGAAGACCGCATAGTGAAATCTGGCAGCTGCCAACACACTGAACTCAACCACAGTGTTTCCCACAACCACCGGGCAAAGAACTTCTTCCAGCAGAAATAACACAAGGAAAATCAGTAGCACATATTCATAAGCCCTCTGGTTAGCTGAGCAGTGAGCTGCAGCACGCTCAGCGATGTTTGATTCGATTGTACTGGCTGCTCTTCACGTGTCCCTCTATCTTTTTCTCTCTCTTTCTTACACATACACTCTCAAGATAGGCAAACAATACAAAAGCCGAGCTCACCACTTCAACTTCAAATCATTTGTCCTCAGTTTCTTTGTCAATATTTAAGTGTCATTCAATAGCAGCACTAGAGGGCGCTTTATTGTAATTACAAAGTGAAGTATAAATCTCAGTCGAGTGACTGAAGATGTTCCATAGATCAATCAAAGTGCTTGCAGGCTGTAAATGATCCGTGTTGTGGGGCTTCAGAGGACGATTCAAATCACTTGAATGGTTCTATTTTTAAATCTTCATCTTTATCCTGAGTTACCAGGAACCCTTTCATTTGGGGAATCAGTCACCAGGATACCTACGAGGAAAAAAAAGAAAAGATAAGACGACCAGCAGGCAGAAGTGCTGAATGGAGGGAAAAGTCAGATTGATTCAGGGGGTTCAGAGCTGGACACGGGCTTTGGAACATGTCAAGGACTATAGATTTTTACTGTTTCAGTGCCCCAAGTGAGGTGTTTTCAGGGGTTCCACAGCCCCTAGAATCGCCCCTGCCAACACACATCTTGCTGTAAAACTGTTATTAGACACCTTGTCCAGTCCTCTAATCTTTCTTGCTAGAACATAACAGAGACGAGGCAGAGGCACTACCTCTCTCCTGAACTCAGGTACAGCATAGTACAAGATAAATAAATCAGACACTGATGACGGTGGAGAAAAATGTGGAGGAAACCCTTGGAGAGTTGCTGCACTCTTGAACAGAAACACTCTCAGTAGCCTCTCTTTAATGGGCCGAGGAGTGGAGAGACATTTCCTGTGGTAGGTGCACTCCCCAGTCAGCAGATTCTATTCCAGGAGGCTTCGACTCCCTCCTTGCCACCCCGCCGATCCTTGCAAAGACACGTTGATAGCTTCCCCTGCTTTCCAGATGATGGAACTAAAGGGCCGAGTGAAGCTTTAATAGGGGACTTGAAGTCCTAATGAAAGAAACTGCCAGCCTCAGTATCAATTATCAAATGGCCTGTGATTACATCAGGCTGTGTGTACAGAGGGAAAGGAAGCTAAACGAACAAGACAGAATCAATAGTCAATAGAGAGCCATGAAGTAGCCATGAAGTTTACACAACAGGATAACACAGGCATAAGTCAGTAAGTGTAAAACACTGACAACAAGGTTGCTAATGCAGCTAAAGGCTGCTAACTGGAAATTAGAAGCTGCACATTAACGTTCAGCGCTGTTTAATTAGTTATACGACTAATGGTAATATCACTTTTCCCATGAAGTAGGAGTGGCAGAATAAAGTGGCAGTAGATGACATTAATTATGCTCCAGCATTTTCTATGCCTACACCTACTTTCTCTTATAAATCAATGAGTCAAACGAAGCACTAAATTTCAAAAACTCATTCTCACTCACAAGCAAACAGCAGATATGTGAAGCCGTGGCAGATCTAGGTGACATGGGAGGTCACTGTGTGTCTCCAGGTCACTCAAAATCTCAGAAGGGTTAAACCAAGGTCATAACAAACACATAAACACCACAGAGATGAGGCCGGGGATGGATGGCTGCATTGTGAAGCAAAGCAAATACAGCTTTGAATGATATATAAAAGAATGAGCAACATCAATTTCATGGCTCATCGATCCTCATTGAGAGACCTGCTTTGGTTCCTAAGCAGCAGATAAATCACACTGACCATGTCTGATTTACACAAACAGAAAAAAAAAAACAAGTAAAAACCTAATTTTTAATTACCGGACTCCTGTTTGGAAGTGAAATGGAGAAAAATTTCATAAAAGCAATCACGGTTTTCCATTTAAAAACAGCAATAAAAAAAGTAAGATTTACAAAAGCACCAAACAGCCAAGCCAATGAATACTGATGACAGTGCACATACAGTGACATATGGCGTTCCTCATGGCTGTTATACTTGTAATACCTCCCATTTATACCTGTGGATTATGACAGCAGCTTTGAAAATGTCAAGGACTTCTTCAAATAAAAACTGTGAAATTGTGTTGTCAGAAGATAAAGTAAACCCTGTATGTAGGCCTGCCAGCCTAAAAAAACAACAGGCCAATTATTCACAGTTAAAGCAGTGAACTCTGTTGTCTAACTTTTGTATGACATCTAAAAATGTTAGGTGAATAACCTCATGCAACATTTCAGCACACACAAAACTTCCCTGCTGGTAGTGATCTCTGCTTATATCATCCCAGAGACTTTCTCTAACTTTCTAATGTTTACGCAATACGCAATAAAATGTATATATCACAGAACTTAGTGAAATCAGTTCAGAGATTTAAAGACAGGAATTTTAAACTTGCTATTAAAAAGGGAAACAGGAGGAACCAGCTGTCTTAATTTATTTATCTTCTTTTCAAACGTCTTAAACTACAGCACTGTAAGATCACAACAATGCAGGACATTATCTAACAACATGCAGCAACAGCAGTGCGTAGAACTACCTACCTATTGTGAAAGGTTTGCACAAAGAACAGAGATGAATCTGTCAGTGAGTATACAGCTAATATTTTTCAGTGGCTAATTTAACTGTGGAAAAGAAAGCACAAGCTTTTTTATTTTATTTTTTTTATTTTTTAAATACAACATTGATATTGCCTGTTTTATTGTGATAGTGTGGTTCTCCACTTGCATGGCATGTTAGCAGAATTATCCCTGTGTAAATAAGTGATCCATTAAATGTGTTTATTCTTTAAAAACACCATTGATATGAATTTTCCACAGAGGACTGAACCAACAATGATCACATAGTATTATGTGACATGTAAGTTACACAACAGCACAAAGTTACATGCACAAGTTCTTCAAACAAACAACAGGATGATTGTGGCATCAATCTAGTGACAATCTGAGGAGGATAATCAGATTAGGGAACTTACTCTCTTGGCTGGTGTCACAGGTGAGGACATGTCATCAGAGACACAGAGGGATGATGATGATGATGATGGTCCAGCAGCTGCAGCAGATGTTCAGCACCGCGGACAGCTCCCGGCTCGCTCAGCCTGCTTCAGTTCTGAACTCTTGTCACATCCTGCAGCACCTCCTCTGCTCTGTCAGGGGCTTTAAAGTCTTCTCTTTTTGAGGGAGCCGCCCCACCTCCCTCCCTCCCTTTCTCTCCCTGCCCACTTAACGACTTCCCCTGTCCAGTCTGTACACATAATCTTTTCGTCTGGATGAGTAAAGCACTGAGAGTTGTATGTGGCTTTTGCATTATGTAAGAGGACAGCGTGGGACATGGACAGTGAGGGGCCCGTATAGCCATGCAGCCAATATGGTATCTTCACATAGAGCCAATTAGTTTCTATCTTGCCGTTATTCATTCTCAAATAATACTTCTATAGTTTTCTAAGAAGGGTCCTATTTAAATAAGAATAACTTTTGCACACCTTTTAAAAAAAAAAGAAAGATGAGAACTATATTTTTTGTCGATATAAACTTCAACAGCTTTTATTTCTGAGATGTTTCGGTTAGTAACAAGAATCAAAAGTAGGGGAGACCTGGTATGGTTGTGATACTTTTCTCTTCAGTACCTATAACTCACTTAATTTTTGAGCTAGAGTTCTCCAACGTTTATGCAAAGTATCCACATTTGTTTACTACAAATGGCACCAACTAAACTCCAACAATATGACAGACCTCGTGAGTTGATGTCAAATACAAGGTGTTCCTTTGTTACAAGTTAGAATCATGAATATGTCTAATTTTAAATTCAATTACAATACTTTTGAAAAGAAGTAAAACAAAATTGGATATCCGAACAGACATCCATGTCAGCTTTCAGTATTTTTTTTGATACAAATACATTTTGGTCAGAGTTTTGAGATTAGCAGTTTTCTTTTTCCCTGCCTTTTGCTGCTGCCGCAGTGCTACTCACTTCTTTGCATGTTAACAAGTAGTTAGTTGGACAAGGTGAAATGCAGCTAACTTCATGAAACTGATCTTTCATATTACATAGTGCTGCGTTTCAAGAATAGAAACTGCAGCCATATTCATGCCTTATTTCCCAAATATGTGAATTATTTAGTTTAGTTGCCTTGAGATACCACACATGGTTATTATTATTATTTTTCAGATACATCCAAAAACATATCCATATACTTTGTACATCTCTCCAAGTGCCTAGATGTAGTTTTTGCAGGCATGGGTCTGTTATCAGTGATAAATGAGGCGGTTCAGCCATCGAGTGTGGTCTAACCCCAAAATCATTTTTTTCTCTACAGAATCTGCATGCGTCTGTTTCCATGTGGGATCGGGGAGGAAGTGGGTAAACACTGAAATAATCACATGACTCCTTGATTATCAACGTTTGGTGAAATTGGTTGTGTTACAATTGACCCCATGTAACAATCATACCGGGTCTCCCTATCAGCCACAGGTGATACAGGTGGAGGCTTGTGGCGTCCGGAAGTGAGTGAGTATTCGGCGTAGACACGACAGGTGAGTACTGCGGCAGGTAATGGCGGTGGATCTTCAGCAGGAGCAGGCACAGCACTGATCCTGGCAGTGACTGAAGTGAGGAGAAACACCGGTGAGTATTTTCCCAAAAAAACAACGACAAGCGATCAAATAAGGTTTCTTTCACGAGAGCGACGGTGGCCCGGAGGGCTTCCACGTTGAGAGCGGAACAATCTGGCGATGAGTGAGTGAAGAGCCGGGGTTCTTACACAGAGCTTGATGAGTGATGAGAAACAGGTGTGCCAGGTAGTCAGCGCTGCGCCACGCCCCCGCTGAGAAGCACACACCTACACCCACACAAAGAGGAGGAGACAGGGAAAAACAGACAGGGAAAACAAACAGGAAACACTGGGGGAATGTAGCAGTAACAGAGGGGCTGTGACAGATTACACCGTTTAACATTTTAAGAGGCCTGTGAGTGTGAATTCATATTGTACTTCATTTATGCATATTGCTAAATAAATTAGCATTTTCTCTCGTATCACCACAAACTGAGTTTTGTTCTGAATGATTATAATATGAAGGAAGTCCCATGGTTTGCATTTTCCAGGAGAATGACTGGGTTATAAGGTTGGATAAAGGGATTTCTTACATCAAGCTGCACTGCAAGTTTTGCTGAGCTGCAGGAAATTACATGATCAAGATGCAGAACAAAATAAGTGGTGCAACCTGACTGCACCCGTGGCTAAGCTCCAGATACTCACTGTGAGAAGTAATTAATTGACACAATTAAAAGTGTACAAACACTGGGACAGACTGCAGCTCGTATGCATCCACATATCCCCTGCCTGAGGCCGCATGGGATCTCCCCGTAGGTTTAATTAATAGTCGGTGGATTGTAACACTGTCCTGATGGGGTTCATAATCAAATCACACTGAGCACTGCTCCAGCAGGTCTCCCGCTGGGGTCATAATTGATAAAAGTCTCCAACCTGCAAGGTTATGAAATTCAACATTTCCATTACCTATCCTTAGATGGTACACTCGGAGGTCAAGCTGTGGTTCAGGGAGCAGATATAGGTCATCGCTATAGGATACCTGGGCCTTATGACAGCAGGTGAGTCTAGGTTGGTAAAACCTTGAGCCATGTGAAAACTAGCTTGTCGGTCACTTGAGCTTTCTCATATCTGTGCTATTATGCCCACTATGTCCATTTATGTTTGTGTTTGTATATTTATATTTTATATTTATACATTTTTTAATTTTTTATATATGACTGCCCATTGAGCAAGGACTGTGCCGCATGCCGAGTACAAGCAAAGGTTTCCCTTTGTATCAAGTTCACTCAGGACTGAGAATCCCTAAATATAATTTATGTTGGAGTCAAATCACAAACTGTGTCATAAAAGTATGTTGCTTCTTATCAAACCATATTTTTCAAGACAGTCACAAGGATAAATGGAAGTATCCAAATAAGCAATATGAATTTCAGGACATATAAATACCCTCTTACATAATGCACTGATGTTACTGCATACATTGCATTGAAAGCCTTTGAAGGCTAAAGCATATGTTGGTGCAGTATATACATGGTCGCGTGACACCAAGAAGGTGCTGTAATAACTAGGGTAGTGGATAAAGCAAAGTGCAGCACTGCCTCCAAGGCCTTTCCTCCTCGCAGGCTGTTGTGTTTGTGCATCCAACCAACTGCCTGGTCAGAGGGCAAAACAGGGACTTCTTCCAGGAGGATGATTTTACTCTAACCTGTGATTTAGTTACTGATAACTTGTGCTGCACATTAAAAAAGAAACTAGGTGAAAATGTGCTGCGGAAACTTGATAATGACACCATTTATTAACAAGGATTAACTTTGATTGAGCTTTTGTTTGCACAAGACATGAACTCTCAGCACGCTTCAGTCAGAGTCAAGAGAAGAGAGTAGACTTTGGAGAAGCGAAGGAGGCTAGTTAGTATAGGGACGTCCCTAGTCATTCATCACAGCAGACAGCAGTGGGATGAGGTCCCACATATATTGGCCCTGTGTGTGAATCTACAGGCATGCGTTATTTAAAGCCTGATCTATCATCCCTATACTGCCAAATCCATAGGTTTATCAACCAGCGTCAATGGCCAGATGCACGGGCATCTATCAAAGCATGTCAGTTTTAAAATGAGAAAACAAAGGACACACACACACACACACATGCACACAGCGTGCAGAGTTTAATTTTCTCTTGTGAACACAACCACACACAATGCATACAAAGCTGCTGACTCGGAGAAAGCTTGGACGAAGCAAATCATAATACAGCGCTCTTTATTCTGCAGATGAACATATTACTGGATAAAAATAGAAAAACTGGTGAATATTTCTCTTTGGTCAACTCAAAGATAAAATCATGAATGTAGTTGAAAGATGGATGTAATGTGTAAATCTCCAAAATGCATATACACTGTACAGTACAGAGAATTTTCTCTTAATCGTGGGAAAATGTGGCAAGAACAAGCAAACCCTCCGATTTCCTAAACCATAAATGACACAACAGATTTATTTCTTTTAAATATTCTAACAAGTCAGGAAGCTGTCACTCGTTGTACACCAATCTGAGGAATTGTTCATTTCTTCTTTATTCCGATCAAGTAGAGAGAAAAATAATCTAATACATTAATAGATAGACTAAACCTGTAAAACTCTTACACAGTTGACTGACTGGAGCATATTTGTGCATTCGTTAATATACAGAAATGACCAGACCGTTAAGCTCATTATAGCCCACGATGTTAAAGTGTTGCATAGAACAAACACTATAAAAGTTTCTCCTTACGGTGATGCTGGAGGAAAGGCTGTATGGACATCTTGGCAATCTCAACTTTAAATAATGAGAAATAGTATTTTGTGTGCGAAGAATAACATTTTGGCTCGTAATGGCACCGTAGGGAAGCTCATGAAGTGCCCAACGTGGAACAGGTTTGTCCTCTGGGCAGAAAGAATGTGCCAAATAAATTGTATAAGAGTAATATACCTGCCTACTCTTTCACTGCAGGTTTTGTCCTCTCACCTCTTCCAGTTGTGATTCAAAGTGCACATTTTATGGTGAGCGTTGCCCTGTTTGGCGGATTTTATTTTTTGCCACCGAGAGTGGCGAAAAATTCAGCTGCATAATTCATCCTGTTTCTTTCTCTCAATAACACAACCATGTAGTGGATAACACATCATCAGCAAAACACCGAGACTCAAGACGAAGAGAATGAGAGTCAAGCACGGCGTGACCGTCAGGGATACTCATGAATTTTAGTGCTGTTAGTAACAAACCATCTCACATGGTTTGACCATTAATGGCATTTAATCACCAGGAGATCAACTTCTCCTCACAGGTATGGACGTCTTTCTAGGTGAATGAGTCAAGAAAAGACATACAGTAATCAATCACAACGTGTTCAATATTCAGTGACATGCGAGTAGAGACCCGCATGGTCACACAGTATAAATGTCAAAAACAGTCAACACAAGAGTACAGTCATGAGGTCATTCATTCGAGGTTTCATCTTCAGTGCTTACCCCTTAGAAACGCCACGCACACAACAGTGAACCAAACAGTTAGATAATAAGACAACAGCTGAAAAATGTGCAACATGAGATGGCAAATGATTCTCAAACAATAAAGCTGCCCTGATGACGATAGTTGAATGTGGTCCCACCCAGGCTTACAGAGAAGCAGTTCTGGACATTTGATATATTATAAGGAGTTAAGAGCTCATTGATATGTAGATACATTTCTTCTGATGGTGAATCAGAGTCTAATGCACTGCAAATCGCGAAAACAAAATGTACTACAAATACAAACACGAGGATGTGTTTTCTCTGGTTGCTTGTGGTTTTTCAAGTTGTAGTGCATTGAGCGCTCCGAGCTACAGCTATTACAGGGTTTAAACTTCATCTTACTTGTTGCACAGGTATCTAGTTTTTGATACATTTCTGATGCCGGCAGGAACCAAGCAGCAGCAACCACAACGTTTCTCTCTAACAGCATCTCATTAGTTAATTTCACCTCCACTTTTGAGCGTTTCTGTGGCGATTAGAAACATGTAATCATGTTTTGTTTGATTAAGGGGTCACACTAAAGGATATACAGACAGTAGACATGCAGGTCTGTTTACATTACACTGGGTGTCTGCATAGGTGAAGACCCTCACAGATACAGGCAAATTATAAATCTAGTTGCAGGAAGTACTGTTTGCGATTCAGGCTTAAAGTGGTACATTAGGGATTAAGTATTACACTTCCATGAAGTTGGGAGACCCACAAGAGACATATTTCTAAACTGAATGTTTGAAATTGAGGCAGCAACGGTTGAGATATCCAGACTTTTCATCCACAGTATGGGGTCAAGCTCGAAAAAAAACACTGGATGCCCGTAATCTTTTGTTCAAGCCTTCCTGCTAGATAAACGCTAATTTCTTTCAAGCTCCACAGCCTCAGTTTGTAACACAGGCTGTCTGTTTAAAAAAGTCTCCAGCCTAATGCGAGGTTACTCTATGGACATATAGATAAAATAATAAGCGTTAATTTATCAGATTTTAGAGAGCTCCCTCCAGATCCACAGAAGGCATAATACAACTGCTTTCAAAGGCTGAGTAGACTTCTTGTCAAGAAAACTGATAGACTGCCTTGTTAACTTGAAGCATGGGACCCGTTTGCTCTAATGAAAAAGGTCTCTCATGCTGCCCCACCCAGCAATGTTGGTTGCTGCAACAAGGCTCCATGCTGCTGGCCAAATTTGAATTTTCTGTGTACATCACTTGACAAAGACAGCGGTGAGCATGAAACCTTAAAACCAGTAGTTTATGGTCCTTGTTCAAACGTCCCCCTCGAGACCAATGGGTGAAGTCACAGGCACTATGACGTTTTTTTTTTTTTTCTTCCAAACGAGTCTTGGATGCAGCCACCAGGCGGGTATGGTCTAACTGTACCACTGGGTGATACAATGGGGGAAATGGCACAGGCTCGTCTTTTAGCCAGTTGGTGAAAAAGTTCTATCTATGTCAATAATATATTATAGTGTACATGTTTTTACACAGTCCACAAGGAGACCCAAACACTGACCTAACCAGTGCAAGAGACTACACACACATGTAGGTGAACACAGTTTTCTAATGGATATATCACATACACCGGTATTTTATCTCCTTGTTCATGTATATTTTCACTCCTTAGAGTGGATGACTATATATATACTGTGTGTGAATACAGTCTGTGGCGTAACAGCAGGATTCTCTGCCCTCAGATGTTAATGTATAAATATATGAGTCAGTATGTGCAGGTATTCCAGGCACGTCCTTGAATCTTCCGTCCCTGTTCTCAGTTCATGTTTCCCACGTGGACCTTTTCACCTGCGTTCCTCCTTCCTAGAGGACTTGCTCGGTGCTGGAGGCGGAGATGTCCAGGAGTCTCCAGGCTGCGTTGGGGTTCAGCTCCTCCTGGTCACGACACAACGCCCAAACATACATCATCCTCAACACCTTCTCCTGTTGAGCGAGGAGAAGAGCACAGGGTCAGGTTAAATTAAGCGTCTTTCTGACTTGGCTTGTGATGAGGATGTATGATGCAACTTCTTAGACAGAATATATGCAATATGTTAATTCATATAGAACTATTAACACTAGTGCATTAGCTGCATGAAGTAAAACAAGCCGGCGGTTACTGCTACTTCAAACCAGTGAAATTCAGACTAATAAACATGGGTGTGAACTTTATTGAGTGCTGATCTAATTTCAACCTTCAAGTCGCTTTCCCCGACATGACTAATTATAACTATCACATTCACTATTCTGGTGCAGCAGTGATGAGCTGACTGACCGGATCTCCCTCGACAATGTCCCCTTTGGGGCTGCGGATCACCATGACGACCTGAGCCTGGAAGGTGATGATCAACACTGGGCCCTGGTCCATCATCTTGCCCATCGCTAACTACAAGGCAGGGAGAGACAAAGAACGAACAAATTAAATGAGAGGAACACACTTAACAAGGGTTAGTGTACAGACATTGGGAAAAGTAAAGAAAAGATAATTACAGGTATTACTTTAGACATTTGATTGTAAAGGCACTTACATCTATGTTATCAATGTCAAGGATTTTGGACTGGAAGAGCAGCCCGAGCGCTCTGGCCTGTTGGATGGGGTGGGCCAGCTGACTGTATGTCTGAGGACAGGCACAAGAAAGCACATCTGGCATGAAAAATGGCACATGGACATACCTGTATGCCAGCTGAAATGGATGGACCAACATTTTAGGTTAATTAAATACAGATGCAGAGGTGAAAGTGTCTCACTTACAGCTTCATAGCACCAGTCTTTCAACACGTCCAGCTCTCCACGGATCATAGCCTGCAGAAGGGACAGTGACAAGGCATTATAAATTATTAGTGTTTCCTGATTTAAGCTTACTATAACTTGTACTTTCAAACCAAGTTTTAAAAATGTAAACAGACACCAAGCAACCATGAAGTCGCAGGGTAAGATGGAGTGCGGAGTGCTATTTGCAGCCTAGATCGCAATGGATCTTGACTCCATTAAACCACATTTGGTGCAATTAGGTGACATAGACCACTTTCTAACTGATGTAGCTGCCAACTACCTGCCTGAATCCATCACTGGCTTAGTTGATTTAAATATGAACACAAATTCCTTGTTTCTCTATTTTTATATATATATACGTATATATATGTAATCAGCTTTTATTCTGTGACTGTGAAGGACAAAGAGTGTTTCCTAACATCAATAATTTGTATTTTGCTGCTCAGTTTGCTTTGAAACCTATTAATAATTCTTACAAGAGAAGTCACAAGTTTTGAATCTCGTCTAGACTGGAGTAAAAAAAAACAAAAACCATCAGTAGTGAAACATCTCAATACCAAAGTACTGAACAGAGAGGAGTGAGACTGAAGCAGGTGACGCTGAGAGAGAGAGAGAGAGAGAGAGAGAGAGAGAGAGAGTCTGTTTACCTCCAGTATGTTAGGGATGATGTCTTTCTCACACTGTTTGAGGAAAGAGTCTTTGTCAAAGGTGGGGTCTGCCTTCACGATCTCTGTCAGCACCTCTGACATTTCTGTCTTGGAGAAGAGACCGCCTGGAAAACAAACACCAACAACATCAGCAGCGGCAACAACAAAGCGATCACTCAGCACTCCACATGAATATACTTTGCTTATGATTTCTTCTATCTGCTTCTGTCTATCTAAAAGCAGACTATGACCACAACATAGAGCGTGTCATTTATGGTCTATGGACTATGAAAGAAGATTTCAGGTTTTTATTCTGTTTTGAGAACAAATTGTCAGTTACATTGTATGTAGATCAGTTTGCTCCGGTTAATAATAATCAAGTTTTTTTTAGGCCGGGATAAAGATATATAAAATCATGACAATGACAAGTAACTGTAAAAGCAACGATGTGGGTGCATTACCTAGGAAACCAGTGACTCTGTCAGTGACAGCTCTGGATGCTCTGATGAGGGCATTGTCGCTTTCATCATATTTCATCTTCATCTCAAAGAATCCTGTAGGAAACAAAAAGGGAATACATAGCTGAGGATAAATTGTTTAACAAAAACATTTACACACACACACACACACACACTTTTCAGGGACAATGGTGGATAAAATCTGCACCTGTGAGGGCACAAGGGCCACTCACCTGATGCCTGAACTGTAGTAGATTATTGTGCAATCTACTGCAAAGAATCTGGTGCCACCTGCTGCCTTCAAAGGAAATTACACATGTGCATACTGTAGGTGAGCTATTATATAACACTCATTCCACAGTATCCAAGCTAATAAATAAATGGGATTTTCTTACTGTTAAAAACTACGTTATTGTCCTTGAAGTCCTTCCACTGCTGGTACCACTTTGAATCCTTGTGGAGAACCACACCCATAGCCTCTCTGCATCACACACACACACACACACAAATCACTCACATTAATAGAGATGTTTACAACAACTGGTGCTATGAAAAAGCAAGTCTGAGTAACAACTCACTCATTGGCCTCGAACACTCTGGAGTCGCTGTCTGCTCCTTTAGAGGAGAAATCGCTTCTCTTCCTCAGCTGAGAGGGAGCTCTGTACGGGCCGGCATCACCGACATCTATCTCCTTCTTCATGGTTTCCACACTCTACAGAGACAGACACACAGACTCTGATTCAAACCGGGGTGTAATAGTTCTTGTAAAGTATTTACTCCAAACTGTTCAGTACAGGACTCAGTCTGCAGTCTAGGTTTTAGTATGTTGCGTGTTGACTGTTGAACATTGGCCATTCTGATATTATGCACTTACTTTCTCAACTTTACTGAAAACACAACAAATCACAACAAATCACATCCTCAAATCACAGTACATGTACAGGTACAGTACAGGTGAGATGCTCCGCCGTCAGTGATGCAAAGCAAATCAGCTTTAACCAGCATTGTGTTTTTTTTTATTACTAACCTGTGAGATGGCCTTGAACGCGCTGGTCCTGCCCAGTTTTTCTCCTCCTTTAGAGACAGACTCGGCAGAGTGCATGGCTGTCCTGGCTGCCTCCTCCACACCCTCCTTGATCTTCTTCCCGATGTCAGTGCGACTCACCTCCTCAAGACCCTATAGTCCCAATGACAGAAAACCTACATGACTTTTTCAGAAGTTAAATGGAAAAGTTTATTTGCTAATTAAAGACTGAACTTTTGACATCTAACATTTTCATATTGGAATATCAAATATGTGGCTGTGTAACTGAGTCACAGGGGAAAAGCATTTAATTAGACAAAAGCACAAAATTTCCAAACTGGAGCTGTCCATCAAAGATATAATGAATCCGGTATGACATGGCTATATGTATAGATTTTGTTCAGTGTGTTCAGATATGAAGGCTCAGTGGCCAATGCACTTTGTAAAAATATGACAAACCAGAGGAAGTGCTGATACCTTACCTCTTTGACAGTCTCTGACAGGGAGCCTAAAGTCTTCTTAAACACCTCTGAAGTCTTCACTGTCTCAGCCTCTATAGATTTCTAATGAAAGAAATTAGAAAATCAAAACAAATAATTGCATGTTGAAAAAAAACAAAAACAACGTAAAGCAAATCCTAGTTCTTAAAAAATTGTAAGTGTTAAATAAAAGGTTTAATATGTAATATGTCATATCTATAGAATATTGCTAGATGTAAAATCAGTGATGGCCTGAATAATGTTCTTACATATTTCTTGCGGGCCTGTTGGAGAGCGTCAGACTCCTCAAGCCTCTTGGCCTCTTCCCTGAACTTCTTTATGTTCTCCTTCATCTCTTGATTCTTACTTAACTCCTGACGAAGGTTATCCACAAACTCCCCGAAGAAACCTTTACGTCCCGAAGCATATCGAACCTAGTGAGACAAACAGAAAGTGGGACTTCAGTTGGAAGGACAGACAGAAGGTAGAGCAAACAGATTATCCACATGTTGCAACTGGGAAGCCGCTCTTTATCTTTCTGGGACGTTGAAAGAAGGAATATACCAGAGTCCATGTACTATTTAGTATGAAATAAGATAATTATGAAAATAAATGAGTATGTGCAACTTAAAAGTGAATGGGAGCTGTTGGTGTTTACCTGCACAGGTGCAGCAGGGTTCCTGTGTAACGTGTATGCATCTCCTCTCCACACTGAGGCGACCAGAGACCGGGAGCTCAGGGCCAAGGCACGTCTGCCAACCAGCTGCAATGAAGAGAAAGTCACCGTTACTAACAAATATCAGCTCTGCCAACACTGCAGTGAAAGCACAATCAATGAAAGGTGGTTAATGAGCTACTAATGAGTATTGCCCCCACAATAACAAGCAAAGACATACAACAGGAAAATGCCACCCACATCATAACCGAGTTGCCAGAGCCTTCGCTGTAGGAGTCAAGCAGTCAGGCCTAGAGCATTTACTTTTCCCTATTAAAACATCCAGCCATCTTAGCAGACTGAAGCTCTGATCGTCTGTGCCATTTGAATATCACTTGGATGTTTTCCTCTTCCAATCTCATCCGAGACATGACGAAAGACACGTCACAGATCATGGCCTTACTTTGATGGATTTTACTAAAAATGGCACCCCCATATTCAGATAGGGTCATACATTTTGATAGCATTTAACTAAAACTGTGACAATAATATACAGATATTAAATACAGAGGGAGTCACATATTTTGATAGCTGTAACTGTAGTGCATAGGTCTGTAGAGCACTGCACCTGGCAATATTTGGCCAACACTTTGTCTATTCTATTTCATATAATTTATCCTTCAGCACAGCTGTTTGCAAAAGGAAAATTACTTACTTTGTTGATTTTTTAAATACAATCCCTGCATCAAACAGATATTATTTTCATTTCATATCTAAATGAGCCTCTTTACTTTAACAATCAATAAATTAGGTAATTTGCTCAAACTTTTGCATACATATAACAGAATCTGGTGGGTCACACACAGGACAAAATCTGTGAGGGCACCATGTTTGGTAACAGCTGCCACAGTACACTCTGTGATTAACTATGATACAACTGTATGCACTGACAAGATACCTTCAATCCCCAGTCCGGTTACAGAATCTGATGGGTCACAGAATTTGCTGTAACGTCAGTCTTAACCGAAAAAAGAGATTAAGTGTTATACTGTGATTATTGAACCTGTCATACCTGTTATGTTTTATAACCACAAACAATGGCTCGATGCCTGTCTACGTGAGTCTTACAGGCTCACTTTAGACCAAATGTAACCCGGTTCAAGCCCAGACACACGGATATATTTACTCCTACAAAACCAAAACCAAAATGTAAATATCAAACGTTTTTAGTGAAAGAAGAAGCTGTGCCGTGCGTCTGAATCAACCAGGCCTTTACTAACGGACATCTCGCGCTCTATCTGCATGAAAAACACTCTGCTTCCTCTCTTCAACACAACCACACGGGAAAGGTCGAACTGCGAAGCCGTCTGCGCCTTCTCCCTTCACCGCATCATCCGCTGGAGACTTGGGAGCTGCAATGAAGGGCATGAATGAGTCTTACCTCGTAGCACCGACACACCGAGGCTGCCATCTTGATCTTGAAATGCGCGGAGCAGCACGTGTGTAGCTGGAGCAGGTGACCTTCCGCTCCACCAATAGGAGCAGAGGTGGTGGACAGGGGGGCGGTGCCAGCTGTCAGCACGACTTTAAAGGGAAAATCCACCCCCAAAAACAGAGAATAAATGAATAAATAAATAAATACACGTCGTGCTTTCATACAACACAACGGTCTCCCTAAACAAATCAAATCAGACTACTTGAGACACTTGTTCTATAGATGCATTTTATAATAATTATGGTAAATCTTATATCCATAAGTATACATTTTCAAATAATAAACCTTTATTCCTGCTCTGACTGGTGAAATAAAATTTAAATTGCTATTACTGGTTGTCGTGCAAACCGAAAAGCTGTGAAAATACATAGTGTCTGTATGTCCTCTAGCGTTTTTTGGTGTACTTGTTGATATGGTTTGTGTAGTCAACTCCCTGTGTCATTGGTTTTATTTAACTCCAGTTTATACAATATGTTATTGTACACTTACATATACATGGTCTGGGTTCTCAAATAAATTTTATTGGAAATTTTTTTAAATTTTTTTTATCATTATTTAGCTGACACTTAATTGTCACTGACTCATTGGGCCTTTATAATTTTAATTTAGGATGTTACATTGAAATGGGTTTTATTTGCGTGGACAGTTCAATGAAACAGAAAAGGCCCCAATATATCACAGTAAATCAACACTGGTGCCTGCAGTGCCCCTGTATATCTTTGTATGGCCAAAACACAGAGTAGACTTGCTTCAGGATTTTAGACACTGTCTTTACTGGCTGTACAATATCATAAAAATGATACGGTATGTTGTTGTCTATTTTAGTGTAATTTCTCTTAATAGTGTTCATTTGATTAAGATAATATCTGTAATTTCTATTTCTATTTTCATATATAATATTTATGGCAATGTAAGCACCCAGGCAGATGAGATTTTATAAAACTAAACTTTTAAAGACAAAAGAAGAATAAAAACTAACTAAATCTAACAAAACAAAAAACCCCAACACAATTCATAGAACTTGCTATTTTCTATCTTATATTTTTTTAATCTATCATATAAACAGCCTTAGGCATGTATATTTGTTTTGTTTTTTTATTAGTTAACTCTAAAATATTGTCTCTGGTAAAACACCACTGTATGTAAAATAACATTTTAATTGTTAATATTCTTTCACTCATGAGTTCACACATATATGCACGTCAACCATTTAACATTTTGGTGATGCTAACATTTTACATGTAAATGCGAACGGAACCTTTGTGGCCTGACCTTATCCTTTCCATTGAGAATTATAGGACTGTGTGTCAGACTGTGGGCCCCAGCTGAATGGTAGCTATCTGCCGGCATGCCAGTAAAGAGCGCCCCCCTGGGGAAGGTATGTGCGCTGCAGGGACTCCTCCCCTCCCTCTGCAGAGTTGAGAGCTCTCCCTTTCTGCGGCCAGCTCGCCTTGACAGCCAACACTGGCGCAGAGTCTCAGCACAAACCTTTACCTTATTTTTCTGGCATATAACGATAATTCATACCCGCACTTTTCTCACATCCTCTTCCGGAGACAAGCGTTGGAGCGGCCTCGTCTAGAATGGGGAACCGAGACGATGAATACGATTTCTTGTTCAAAGGTAAAAAAAAAAAAAAAGATGACTGCATTCCCCCTTTACACAGACTCAGACCGACAAAAGATATGCTTTATAAATGCCTATAAATTTCCTATTGTGTCATTTTCGCTGAGCAGATGTGTGCATTTTCTAAGGAAGCAGACTAATGTTTTTCTCAGGAACTGCCCGGATGATAATCGGTTGGCGTTATTACAACATAATGCTGTCATTGTAACATTACAACGCCTGCAGCTATATTTATAGGTATAGGATGCAACACCCTATCCGTGCTCAGCCTTTTTATTAAACTTTCATCAACTAGAGCAGCAGCTGTTGGTGGTAAGAGTCAACCGTTTCCTCATTTATTGAGAAACATTTGATGTTTTCTTCTCATTCCTCCTCATGTGGCTGATTAAAGGCCTATTAGCCTCTACCTCTACTGATCAATAAGCTTCATCCTCAGTTGAGGATTGCACTCTGTCAGCTCGTATTGACACTGACAATGCAGCAACTCATAACTTTGTGTATTTTAGTGTTATTATGACAATCAACAACTGGGCCTGGTAGATTGTCACTGAGATTCAAGCGGTACCAGACTCAGGTCCATGTTTATCTGTGGTGCTCGGTCGGATCCAGAATGCCTTCCTTTGATCGTGATATCAGCTCCTGTGGCACATTAACATCCTGGGCCTGTATAAGCTAAAAGGCCATTTAGATGTAACAAAGTATCCTCTGTGGGATGAATAGGGCATCTGCCGGAGGCGAGGGCTCTCTCTCTCTCTCTCCCTCCCTCTCTGACTCTCTCTCTCTCTTTCTCTCCCTCCCTCTCTGACTCTCTCTGCCCGAGCCATCGTCTGTGTACCCGGCCGAAACAGGAAGGGCAAGGCGGCCTGAAACTGTCGATTCAGGTTTTGATGAAGCCTGTTATCAGCTTCCTGCAGCCCGGACCAGCGCGATGTCGACAGGGACAAAGTTCGGCTCTGTTTCCTTTTGGGAGAGAGAAAACAAAAAGGCTCCACCTCCTGCTGCTTTGCTGGAGCAGCAGACACCTCAGCCTCGGTCCTGACACCAGCCCAGCCCCGGTCCAAGAGATTAATCAATCACTTTCCTCCAGTGACTCATTTGCCACAGCTTAAGACCATGCCTGAGCAATAGAGGGCCTAATAATCAATGCATGTTGTCATACTATACAGCTGGTTCTCCACACTGACTTTGTAGTTAACTTATGGCATTTGCAGCTGTTGTCTCACAACAATAAATATAAAGAAATACACAAAAAACATTCCTATTGCTCTTACTTGTAGATACATTTTGAATCTCTGGGGTAAAAAGAAAGTTTTAAATGAGGGTGGGTGAACAAATTTCACATCAGGTCACATCTTCCCTACCTGAGCGCTTTCAGCAGTTCATTTACTGAATAACACCAGCCTCAGGCCGGGCTTACCTCTTCATTTGTGAAAAGCCAAGCTTATACAGTCTATTAAAGATGCAGCATAAGAAGCAAAACCGTTTCATCAAATTTATTCAGCTGCACATATTTTGCTCTGTGAAAAAAAAAAAAACTTTCCCTGTACTCCATTATTTATCTTTCTGTGGTTCTGCAGAGAATCATCACAGACTAAAGCGCCTGTCTGTTTAGTGGATAATCCGTTAGGCACTTCAAGGCATTAATTCTTGTTTGGGTGATGGTGTAAGTTAAATAAGTGTAGCTTTTCATGGGTAGTTGGCTACTAATAGATGTTTTTTTTGGATGATCTACGCATTTGTTCTGTGCGAGTTCTCACCGAAACAAACTGGATATGCAGAACACTTCACCCAAAAGAATGGCTGCTAATTAAGTTCATTATCAGTGAGGGCCCTCAGGCAAAACCTGAGTGGAGACACACAGATCATTTTATCTTTTAGTTCATTACAGCACAAACGAATGATCGGTTTTTGAAGCAGAGCAGCAGTGCAGAGGTGTGGTTGCCTTTTTTTAGTCAGCATGTCACACATTATTTTTGATACACTGCGAGGCCTTGCTGTTGTGTTATAGATAAATGGTGCTGAAGTTGAAGTTCTTTACATGAAGTTAATAGATAGATGAATTTAAAATGGAAAAGGCACATTCACAGGCTCTATTGAGTAACGCTAAGGACTCAAGCCTTGTGTCTAATTTGTTACACTCCTACTTTACAGTAGAAATATGTGTTTTTCATATCCCATAAATAATAAATCGTCTCACACACACACACACACACACACACACACACACACACACACACACACACACACACACACACACACAAACACACACGAAGCCCCTGGGTTCTGTCCTGTTCTGAACCAAAGTTTAGAGGCACTGCTTTATGCAACGTCAACATTTCTTAATTTCTTGGATCTATTAATATATGTAGCCCATCCCCAACTCGTCCCATCACACATTACATATACACACACTTGTCTCATCTTTTATCTCCCCTTTTCTTTCTCTCCACAGTCGTGTTAATTGGGGACTCGGGCGTAGGGAAGAGCAACCTGCTCTCTCGATTCACACGAAATGAGTTCAACCTTGAGAGCAAGAGCACTATCGGGGTGGAGTTCGCCACACGGAGCATTCAGGTGGACGGGAAGACGATAAAGGCTCAGATCTGGGATACAGCAGGACAGGAGCGCTACAGAGCCATCACCTCTGCGTGAGTCCATTTCTGTGCGGTGCAGATAGTTCTGCCTGTCACCTAACACTCGTCGGTGTGGGGAAATACATCAGCCGTGCAGTCACAATTCACACTCTATCCTTTAGTGTAGGCCACTTAAAATGTGGCTGATTGTTGGCTATGTTCTACAACAGCCTAAACTGCACTTTTCATCAATAAATACCATGTGCACTGGTCAAGAAGGTGTTAGCTATTGCTTTAAATCTTCTTGAGTTGGACATAAAACCCCAGGAAAACCATTTAATATACTTATATATACATAGATGAATCTTACAAACTGCCAATATGAAAAATATAAATATGTGTCGCTAATCTACTAAATGGACTGTGGTAAGAATGGTTTCTGAAAGTCAAAGATGATCCAACTTTCAAGTGATTATCTCATGATGGTTTTTAAAATATAAATGGGCTGAATAAGACGCAGGGAACATATTTGTTAACATGAAAACGAGACAGAGTTCAGTAGACAGATGCAGTTTGTTCTAACTATTCTCTACTCTGGATTAGTCAGTGTGAAAAGCAGAAAGAAATGATGTATGATGTCTAATCACAGGAGCTTTTAAAGTGAACACTCAACTGGAGAAAAAGACCTTTTATGGACCGGCTGACACCCTCAAGATTTCTGTCATCAGCCGTTTTCATGGAAGACTTTTTAACACGCCACAGCTGGAAAAGCACTGCTGTATCCATATAGCTGTATTGTGCATGTTGGCTCACTGTCGCACTGTCACA